TCCTGAAGAAGGGTCCTGACCTGAAACATCAACTTTCCTGTTCCTCTGATGCTGCCTGGCCTGCTGTGTTCCTCCAGCTCCACACAGTGTTATCTCTGACTCCAGCATCTGCAGTTCTTACTGTCCCCAGTGGAATAATATCTCATTTTCACTTAAGCATTTTACAGTCTCTCGGACTAATTATTGAGTTCCACAACTTCAAAATATGACCTCTGTGCTCCATTTTTCTCACATCCCTACTCTACCCCAACCGTGAGACTTGTTTATATCTTGTTGGCTTTGCAGTCAGCACTGCAGTCCCATTTTCTCCTTTTCACAGCTCATACTTACATCTATTTTACATCATTATGGCTCCTTTAGCACCATTATCAAAGCTTTCGTCTTTTGCTCTGAGCACTCCCCCAATCTGTTCCACTTGTTCCTCTTCTCCCTCTCCCTGCAGCATTAAAAAACAGGATATTCAAGTCCCCTCAGATCTGAAGAAAAGTCAAACCGGACTCAAAATGTTGACTTTGTTGCCACCTCCACCGGTGCTGCCAGACCTGCTGAGTTTCTCTCACATTTTCCAAACCAAAGACAGACAGGAGAGGGAACTAAATGTATGGTTAAATAAATCTGGACCAAATGGGTGCAGTTTCACCCACTTTAACATTAGCAAAGAAACTGTGCCAAGTCATGTGTATGCCCATAATTCCGTAATTGTGAACCCCTTTATCATCAGCGAAGACTAATCTGGTTGAATTTCTAAATGTTTGATCCCATCATTTTCCACTCCTGATCTGCCACCATGATGGGTATTGTAGAGCTGAAAGATTCAATAGGTCTCTATTACTACTCCTGATAACTGCATACCAACTGCCAGATATATTGCAATGCCTGCAATTGTCCTGCCCCCATCCCTTGCATCATTATTTGTCCAATATGTCCATTCTCACATTGAACCAGTTTCCCATGCCAATTGTAAAGTGAAAAGACTCTTCAGCCATCAACAGTTGGGCAATCCTTGACGTCAAACAGCCTTTTCACCTGTCTCCAAACGAATCAACCAAAATCTTCAATGACAGAATGAATTTCCAGAACTTTGAATACACTAGTCATTCTCCACAGGTCACAGCATTAACCAAGGAATTAAACTTTAATTCCTGAAGATGGCAGGGAAATTCGGGAGGGCTTGGAACTGGAGGTCTGAAAGCTTGTGTTTTCAAATAAACCTGTTGGATTATAACCTGGTGTCGTGTAATTTCTGACCTTACTCATAAAAAAACTTTATATATATAATAGTCACAGCCGCGGTTAGGTTCTGTACTGCGACATATCAAGAAAACAAGCAAACATTGCAGTTTGACTCTATCCAACAAACCAACTGAAGGCATCTCTTGCTTGTGCAAGACTATTTATCTACATTTGGGGCACCAGGAGAGTCTGATAACGGAACGGACCCCCCTTTAACTTCAGCAGGAACACCTCAGACAGTGGTCTTTCCCCGTTGTGCCTTGGTGACAACTGTCCCAGAAACGGAAGCGATGAAGCTGTGTTGCCGGCAGGAGTCTGGTCTGCGAGATGAACATCATACTCGGAGGGCTACAGCTTGAGGGTCACTTTATCTGCGGCTAACAGATTCGCCAAGTGTCAGTCAATGGGCGTGGCAGTGAATCACACTCTGAAAGCCTTTGAGATGACTGTCACGTTTTACTTAAAAGATCTTCATGTCGTCTAATATCTCATAGGTCTGTGTGTATAAACAGCAAATGCAAGTGTAGCGGGTTAAGGCAGAATCAGACGGGGTACACGTGGTAAATGTGTAGAGCTTGATGTTTGAACAGCCCAGGTTTAAAGTTGGCGCTGGTTGGGAGGTGGAGTCTGCCTCTGGTGTATCAGCAGGAGGACAAGAGTTCAGATTGCTTTCCCCCCCACCCTCTCTTGGGGTCAGAGGGCTGTTGTTTGCTGCTTTCAGAATCCACCGGTAAACAGGCAGGAGCGGAGCCCAGGGCTCTTCTTCCACCTCCCAGCTCACGGGCAGAAGAGCGAGGGCGATTCTGCTGTCTTCGGAAATGTCCCACACACAGAGGTTTTTGGTCACCGCTGTTCCCAGCCGGAGAGACGGGCTTGGAAGCAATGGGATGCAGAATGGGGACAATAATGTCAGAGAGACAGAGAGCACTGTGCCCATACTGGAGTATCTCAGGGAGCCCAACAAATACGGTAAGAAGGCAACGAATAAAACTGTATAATGGCACTGAAAGCTCACTTCATTTTTCTGGTGGCCCGACTTTGTCTCCAAGGTTTTTTATTTCCAAAATAACTTCCTTATGGCTTGCTAAATCTTCGATAACATTTTCAAATATATAATGGGGCGATTTTGGTTTATGTTATGTGTGTTCCGCTCCGTAAGAGTTGGACCAATGTTTAGCGACCGGATTTCGGTTAAACGAATGGACCGGTGATTAAAGTACCATCTCTCGCCGGGATGGCAAACTGAATCAATTGCACTTCTTTCCACCGGCTTATTGATATCAGCCACTTCCTTTCCTCGTGTTTGAACATAATAGCCTGTATTCCATTGTTCCTTTTTCTTCACTTTTTGGTTTATTCAGGGCATTGACATGGATACGTGATCACAGAGAATGGAATGCAACTCTGTCACTTTTTAAATCATTCTCCAATCTCAGCTCACTGCTCTGGTTTTGATTGTTCCCCACCTTGCTTTGCAATTCCTTTGATTTAATATTTTGTAACTAACGTAGTTCTGATACGATGTTTCAGGAAAACAATATGGACGTTGGAAATTCTGCGCTTTGAATTCATTTTATAGGTGTTTTCTAATTGTTCACTACGACTTTGGAGCATACATGCTTGATACAAAGTGACATTACATATTCCACACAGGCTGTGGTTAAATTCTATGAAATGCAACAAAATCATTGCAGTTTCTTTTCAAAATATATTGAAGCTGTTAATGTTTTCTGGTTTTCACAACATGTGGCATTTCTTTTTAAATAAAGTGCATTATGTGCAAAAGTTTGGGAATTGTCCTAAACGCTTCATCATCCCTCTCAGTTGTCAGAGTCAATAGATGTGAGGCAGGAAAAGCACAATGGGTCAGACCGCATCCTAGGAGCAGGAAAATCAAAGTTTCCAGTCAAAACTCTCTGTCAGGAGAGGGGAGGGATGATGGAGCCCAGAAATAAATGGGGGTGGGGGGCGTGGGGCCAGGGGGAAGGGTAGGTGAGATGGTGATAGGTGGATGCAGGTTGGGGTTATTGTGATTAGTCAGTGGGAAGGGTGAAGCAGATAGGTGAGTAGGAAGATGGACAAATTAGGTCAGGTCAGGGAGGCGAGGCGGAGAGGAAGGGCTGGATGTGGGATAAGACTGGGAGTGGAGGGATTTTGAAGCTCTGAGCTCCCAAGGCGAGATAGCGGATATTTGTTCCTCTACTTTACGTTTGGCCTCACTCTGACAGTGGAGGAGGCCAAGAATGAACCAGTTCTGACACCTCCCCCCATTCCTGGACCTCTCCATCTCCGGAAACCTACTCACCAGTGACATCCATTTCAAACCCACTGACTCCCACAGCTACCTCGACTACATCTCCTCTCACCCACCCTCCTGTAAAAATTCTGTCCCATACTTTCAATTTGCCTGCTTCTACCGCATCTGCTCCCACGCCTGGAGGTGTTTTACTCCAGGACATCCCAGATATCCTCCTACTTTAGGGACCGGAATTTCCCCTTCTCTGTAATTAAGGATGCCCTCAACGACATTGCCTCCATTTCCCACACTACTGCCCTCAAACCCCTTCCCCCAACAACAATAAGGATAGAGTTGCCTTCATCCTTGCATACTATCCCAGCAACCTCTGAATCCAATGTATGATCCTCCAACATTTCCGCCACCTACAATCACACCCCACCACCGAAGATATTTCCTTCTCCACCCCTGCCTTCTTTCCACAGGGACCATTCATTCCACGACTTCCTTGTCAGCTCTACACTCCCCACCAACTTCTCCACCACAGCCAGTGCCTGTCCCGACAACCGCAAGAGGTGCAACACCTGCCCCATGCCTCCCCTCTCACCTCTGTCCAAGGCCCCAAACAATCCTTCCAAATCCAGTAGAGATTCACCTGCACTTCATCCAACCTGATCTATTGTATCCATAGCTTCGTATGTTGTCTCCTCTATACGGGGGAGGCCAAACGCAGACTCGGACCGGTCACCGAGCACCTACGCTCTGCATGCATCATCCAACCCGACCTTCCAGTTGCCATCCATTTTAGTTCCCCCTCCCACTCCCCTGGCGACATGTCCATCTTTGGCCTCCTCCACTGTCAGAGTGAGGCCAAATGTAACCTGGAGGAACAACACCTGATATTTCGCCTTGGGCGCTTACAGCCCAATGGCCTCAATATCGACTTCACCAGCTTCAAAACCCCTCCACCCCAGCCTTATTCCATGTGCAGCCTTCCCCCTCCTCCTCACCTCCCTGACGTGACCTAGCTTATCCATCTTCCTACTCACCTATCCTCTCCACCCTTCCCACTGACCAAACACAATAGCCCCCTACCTGTATCCACCTATCACCATCCGTCATAGGAGACTTGTGCACGCCATAGGAAAGAAAACACAATATTTGGTCTTGTTACTTAAGCAGATGGTAACGACAGTTGTTGATGGGGAAGATTGATAGAAAACATGGGAGAGGGAAGCTGGAAAGAAATGGATGACACAATGGACTGGCACGCTGCTGGACCTGTGTGGAATGTGTAAGAGGAGCACAGATCAGGATAAAAGTGGAAGTTCATACCAGTCAACCTTCAGAGAAGAAAGATGACATGAACAAAGTGAAAATAAACAAGGTTCATTTCAAAAATTGCACTCTTCCACCACCCCTCTTCCCCCTTTCCACACTAGATTACGTGAACAAGCTTTGCAGACTTCTACAAGATGCAGAGTATGGGCGATACAATTGTGAATGGTTCCACAATGGAAATCTTTTAGTCACGCATAAAGTTTCTAGTCTGAGCTTAATTTATTTAAAATGACCCACCCCAGCTGTACCCACTTCCTTGGCCATCATAATTTTAATAAATTAAATGAAGCCAGACATGTGATAACTCTGCTGCACTTTAATTAAATGCTATTAAAGTTCTTTAGACTGTACGCAGTAAAAATAGAAAATGCAGCTGTCATTGGGAGAGCTGTACAGCATAACAAAGGAGAAAAACCTCCGGTTGCATTCCGATCAATATAGTAAATAATCATGAAACATGTAGGTTTCCATGCCAAGGTACACTGCTGTTTGCATTTGCACCATTAGAGCATACTGTTCTTTGTTTCAAAGTTCCTGGCAACATAAGGCAAATGAAACACTTTCATTAATAGTGCATTGCAAATTAGGTTATTATTCAGAGGTTGTAACTTCTATCTATTTATCAATTAAAGGTTGTTTTGATTTGCTTGCTGTTGTGTCACATCTGAGTGAGTGACCTAAAAATGACAGTGGTGCTTAGTCCTTGATTAGAAATATTTGGGCACTGGCTGCTGCATGTGAATAGTCCCTCGAGGGCTATGAGGTTAAATCTATTGTGGGCGTTTATTGCATCTAAATCTTTTTAGGCCTGTCACATAAGGTACATGGAAAGAAAGCACAAAATGGCTTCCTATTTCTGAAGAACCGGCTTACTGAACATGTGACTTGTAATTATCATTGGTACATTTTATCTGTGTACTTTTATTTTGCTTCTGGTTCGTTTTATAACTGGAGAAATTGCAACTCAACATTTAGTGCAGCTAGGAATTCTAGACTTTTTAAAACAAAACCTGTGCAAATGCGAGTGATTGCAATATCAACTTAAAATTGAAACAGTGTTTCCTTTCTTCATCTAAACATGAGATCTTAAATCACCAGCAATGAAAGCAAAAATGTACTCGAACGCTTTCTGCACAAGTGAAATTTTAAGTATTTTCTCCCCTTTTTTTCCCTTGCACTATGAAGTTAAGCATCCAGTGATGTCTGGATACTGCTTGTGCTGTTCCTTGGTTAACAACAAGAGAATCTGAATTGTTGGAGAAATGGTCCCTGCTACACTGTGGGATCATGACATGTACTCATTTTTGAACAGTTCAATGCCCAATTAAACTGAGACAGTTGAGTGCCTTGCCTTAAAGAGAGAATACCACAAATATTCAGGGAGGGGATAGAACAGTGAGTGTCAGATCAGCAATTCTATGTTTTGGGTCATTGTGAGCATTTAAGTAAGGTAACCATTTGCTGACCTGGCAGATTTAGGAAAAGTGGAAGAAACGCCTAGTGTTGACTCACTGGCGAAAAAGCTACTTGGGACCTTTCCGTTAAAAGATTTTCAAAAGCAAAATGACTGGTAAGAATGAACAATAGTGAGCAGAATTTTATTTTTGGATTTAGTTTACTTAGGGGTTAGACCTTAACATTTCTGAGTGAACATGTGATGGATTTAATTTAGGGAAGTTTGTTTTTTTTGTTGTTCCGTCATTCACGAAACATAGGTGTTGCTAGCTGGGCTATCATTTATTGCCCACCTCCAGTTGCCCTTGATATGGTGATGAGCTGCCTTCTTAAATTGCTGCAGCCCATGTACTTTAGATCTTTTTTCCCAGATCGTCTAGCGATTGTTACAACTGAGTGGTTTGCTAGGCCATTTCAGAGGGCAGTTAAAGTCAACCATATTTCTGCGGGTCTGAAATCACATGTAGGCCAGACCAGATAGTTTTCTTCCCAAAAAGACATTGATGAACTAGATGTTTTTCCAGACAACAGCTCATGTCATTATTAGACTTCTGTTATTAAATGCATTTTCTTTTAGAAATATGGAATACAGTTCCACATCAGCTACGGTGGGATTTGAACCTGGGTCCCAAGAAACATCTTTGCTATTGCCCTGGTTTTGTCAGCTACCTTTATGCTGAGTTAGATTTGAACCTAATAACTCTGCTACTTTGAATAAGGTGGTGACTTTATCATTTAAAAATAAATCATAGCTATTATTCTTATCAATACAAGTGTGAAGATGCTGTTGTCTTGATCCAAGACTAATAAAATTATGGGGTCCATTTTTTGGAATGTGATGTTAAACTGGGACTACTCTGCCTCTGCAGGTCGATGTAAAGTATTCCACTGGCCCTATTTTGAAAAAGAGCAGGTGTGACCTGTCTGGTATCCCAGC